AATTATTTCCAACATGCTTCTTACCCATTAGCTCCAATTTTCACAATTGACATAGCTCATTTAGCTCATTCAGCAATATTGTAAGCGCGCGTTTTAGCAATAATTTAAGAAAATTCTAATATTTATGTGTATCTCCAAGTATTCAAGAAATGTAAATGAAACAACTAAATTCAACTCCTACATATTCATCGAATTCACTCACATTTAAGCGTTTTGTTATTGGCTTTCTAAAGAAACTTAAAAATGATAAAAAGTTTCAGTGCATTCAACAACCATCTTCGTCCGATAAAGCTTGCGGTGCAACCGAGAGTTTTATTTATTAAATAACCAAAAGTGTATCTAATATTTCCTTATGTTATTCAGCTCATTCTAAAATGCATTCAGCTCATTATTTTGACAATTCGGCATATTGTAAGCGCGCATTTTAGCCATAATTTAAGAAAATTCCAATATGTATATGTTTTTTTTTTAAGTTTTCCAAAGGCGTTTATTATATCTCATTATAAATTTGGCTTTTTCAGCAAAATATATTCTCAAATTGCGGTTAAGTGGCAACGCTTTCTCTGTTTTTAAGCATCAGGGAAATTAGTCAGACGTTTAACAATGCAAACCGCACTTTAATTCGACGTGTATCATGCCGGCTACGACTTTTGCGTTGAGTTTTACAACTTTTTTGCGAGATAATTCAAGACGTCTCGCATATTCAGCTATGTCAGCAATTGATTGTGTTACATATTTTGCGCATTTTCTTAAATTTTCAAGCTTTAAGCTCGTCCTGTAGCTTACTCAGCATCTAGCCCTACATATTTAAACCATTCGGTAGCATATCCTGTCTTCTATTAGACTCGTTTGCATAACTGCAAACACTTTTAGACACATTAATTTTACTCAGTGCTTATTACGCAATGTAGTTAGATACTTTCGTAAAAATTAATGGGTGCATCTATACATTTGTCTTACATTGTGGAATTCAGCTAATTCAGCAGTGTATCCAGCTCATTCAGCAGCATATTCATCTACTTCAGCCTACTTTCCACTACTTTGTGGTCCATTTTAAACATCCTGTAAGTTCGGCAGCAAATTCAGCAAGATATTCAGCCCGTTTGTCAATACTTTGTGGTTTCTTTCAAGCATCCTGCCACTTCTATTAATAACCTTGTCGCCTGACAATTATTCACTTTAAGCTTCCTGTTTCGTCAGTAGCGTATTCAGCTCATTCAGCTACATATTCAGCCCACTAGCCACTAATTGGTGGTTCATTTTAAGCACTATGTTACTTTAGCAGCATACTAAGCTAATTCAGCAAAATATTCAGCCCACTTATCATCACTTTGTGATTCATTATTAGCACCCTGCTACTTAAGAAGCAAATTCAGCAACATATTCACCTCACTTGCCAATACTTTGTAATACATTTTAAGCACCCTGTTACCTTAGCAGCAAATTCATCTAATTCAGCAGCATATTCAGCCCATTCATTTCAAGCACCCTGTCACTTCTATCAACAACCTTGTCACCTGATAATCGTCTATTGCCAGCTAGAACTTCTTAGCACACAAAAGCTTCGATTGCGCTATGTTTCGCGGTAACCACAATACATAGTAAATAAGCGATTAAATTGTCCAAAGGTTTTATTTACCAGCCAAATGAGGTTAGAATGCGGCAGTAGCGGCATTAAGCCAGCTGACACCATGACGCTAACCACATTTGTTTACGCATTGGATTAAATTCTTATTTATTTTCGCTTTTACACAACTAATTTGCTAATGTTGACTTTTATTGTGTTGCGTTTGCTTTCTCTCCCTTTTTTGCTACCTTTTTTCTATACTTGGCATGTGCTTTAGCAATGTAGATAAGTAAATGATAGTGTCATGGATATGTATGAGTGGAGTGCTTTCTTTACGTACATACAATTTCCGTTCTAATAATTTCATTCAAATAAATTGTATGTAGAAAGGGTTTCAAGGTGGGGGTAAAAGCGAAAACCTGTTCATGAATGTATGGTAAAAAAAAAAAGTAAAAAGTAAAAATTTTTTGACACATTTACGCCTAATCAAACTTGAATTCGCTTACTCATTTAGATTAGATTTTTTTGCATTTTTGGAAGCTCTAAAGAATTTACGTAAGCCTTGCACACTGCTAAATAAGCAGCTAAGCGTTTACTAAGGACTTTGCACTGTATGTCTGGTAGACTGTTTTCTATTTGTTGCTACTAAATTACTGCATTATTTGTTTAGAAATTTTGAGTGAAGTTAATAAAACTTTTTTTTTTCGCTATAGCCCGTTTATTTTGTTGAAATTATACCAGCGGTAGGCGCGTGCAAATCGTACATATATACCTCCGTTTTTTTTTTTTTGTCAATTATAATACTTTTCTTCTCTTCGTTTCTCCGCTTAGCCTCCTCTGCTATCCACAATTCACTTTAATAGTTATGCGGATCTTAATTACATTAGCTCGCAACTATACTTAGCAAATATTTATATCAATCGTATATCTTTCGCAATTTTTTTAGCAGCTTTGTTATTCTTTGTTTTGCGTTAAAGCGACGTAAACAATGTCCAACGTTTTGACTGCAATCAACATGTGATAATGTCACAAAAACGTCACCCTTTTTAGTATTTTATCAAAAAGTATACATTGCCATATCAGTTACATACATACATACTTACGAGTATTATATGTTTGCGTACCTTTTTGTCTTTGTTAAGTAGTTAGCTTATGATAAGCTTTGTAGCGTGGCGTGGAATTCGCCTATATGGGCACCGCGTTTGTGTAACAAAAAACTTTTAACTTTAACAAACTTTATATAAAACCTTAAAAAGCTCTAGGTATCCCATGTTGGCTGGGAGTGTTTAAATTAGAAAACTCTTAGAAACTAAAGAATGTATGTATAGTTGGCGAAAAGGCCGTTTTGATTATATTTAGTCTGAAAGAACTTTCGAATACCTTTCGTTTGATATCCATATTGTTACATTTTTGATGAAGTTTTGGCATAAATAAAATTATTCAGCCAATTCAGCAACAAGTTTTATGCAGTTATCGTTAGTTATTGTGTTCATTTGATCAGTTTTTCAAGTTTTAGAACTCATTCAGCTTTGTAAGCAGTATATTAAGATAATTTAGCAAAACATTTAATATAATTAATCTGAAGTATTCAGCGCATTAACTAGTTCATATCAATGCTTTAACCAGCTTGTATTCAGGTAAATACATATAGTATTTTAAAAAAGTATGGACCTTTTTTGATTGTACAGCTAATACTTTTGGCAAGCGTTCAGCTTATTCAGCCAGGTGACTAGCTTATTCAGCAGCATATTTCACATTTGTTTTATTCGTTCAGCAATGTGCTTAACAGTTTAGCATAAAGTATTTTAAAGCATTTAATCAAATTTCACACATTTTTTTTATATATACATATATTTAAAGATCCTATGAAAAGAAGCCATGCAGCCCAATTCGCAGTGCATTCAGCTCATAAATTGGCATATACGGATCTTTCAGAAAACACACTACATTTACTAATTCAGTCATAACTCACGGTCTAATCGCATCAGCAGCATTTTGTACATTCTTTCTTTCCTCAACTCACAAACCAAGACATTATAAAAAAATATTTTAAGTTAGACAGCTTGCAATTCAGCACTTAATTTCAGAAGTCTTTTAGCTTGCATTAAGAAACTTGGACTAAACTGTAACATTTCGCCCATGTTACACTGCATTCAGCTTACATAAAGACAGGTTTTAAGTCATACTTTGAGCAATGTAAATGTAACACAACACAAGTATTCAGCCCACTATGAAATATATTCAGTTCATTCAGCAGTGTACATGTGTTCCTTATTTTTCACTGTGCATTAAATAATTGGACATACTCAAGAAATGTTTGCGTGAGAATTATTCTCACCAGGAAGTTGACATTCCGGTCGCTACCTGATCTGAGGAAATATATTTTCATACTCTTATTCAGCACAGTTTGCGTACGAGTTTCTTGCTCGTAAATACTCAGCTCATCTCTTTACACTTTCGGAATTCTCAGCTCAGCTTTTAAATTTTTCTTTTAAATATTCAGCTATTCAGCAACTCGTTTGGAAAATATGTAAACTATTTTCAAAAATTGGCCATGCAGCAGCATTTTTTGTTAGCTTATTGCGATATTTAGCATAGAGTACTTTTTTGATTAGTTTAACTATGGCCCTCGCTAATGCTAAAATCTATTCAGCTACATATCTTTGTAAAGTCTCTCAAAATCTTAGAAAGTAAGGTTTTTAATTTATTTAGCAAGAAATTTACCACGGTATTTAGTTAGTCATAAGTCAGCTAAAACATGTTCCGACCTCTGGTGCATTTTGAACTATATTACTACGCTTTGCAAAAATGTCTGATACAGATGCAGCGTTTGGCTTGCCAAAAGTGGCGTTACACTTATTCAGCAACGATTTTTTTTTAATTTTTTGACACGTTCTGTATAAAATATAATTTCTGCCAGATTTATTAAGCTTCTCGCTAATGCTTAAATGTATTAAGCTACATATTTTTGTAGTGAATTGGGAAATTCTTACTCTATTCAGTTATTTAACGTATTCGGCTTATTTAGCAACTACCTGTGCGCTATATTTTAACTATTTTTATAAATTAGCGATGCAGCTAGAGTATTCAGCTCGCTAAGAATGGCATTTAGCTTATTCAGCGGACCTTTTTTTTACAAAATTTGTTAACAATACATATATTCAGCTGCTTTCCGCAAAGTATACAGACAAAACTAACTCTCTACAGAGATAGCAATGAACCCTTCAACCAGGCTTATCGCGTTAAAATTTCATGAAATGATTTAAACAAAAAAGTCGTGAACTATATATATTGCCATTGAACTTTCAACGGCCGCGAAAAGTTTACAAATTTAAGGATTTCCTGAACATAATTAAAAGCTACTTACTTTATTGCATCAACAAATGTATCTGTGTATGTAAAAAGTACGGCTTTAGTATATTTAAGTGCCTACCGTCACGCAATTATGGCCTGACTCAAGTGACGCCACTGCAACTTCATACATACTTAGCTGCATAAATAAATAAAATAAAATAACGCACTGATAAATAAAATTCAGTGAGAAGAGAAAGAAATTAATATTAAAAACTTATAAACAAAAAATAAAAATCTTTTCTTCCACTCAGTTGTGGGCAGCACAACAGAGTGTTGGGCGGCAAAACAGGTTTGTGTGCCTACGTGGTTATGTAGACGTATTTGTAAAATTTACCGTTACTCAAGGTAACAGATAAGCAAAAAACTGGGAAAATGAATAAAAGAAATTGAATGAATTATTATTGTCTCGAGGTACAAATCGCAGGGCTATTGTCTTGAATTACATTGAAGAGCGTCAGTGGGGAAGAGGAGGTAGCTGACAGCAACAGCTTCAATATCAAGCCACGCCTGACGGCGAGAATACGACAACACAAATAGCCAACTTTTGAATAGTGTAAGCGGATTCATGTCAGCTTTATTACTTGGTACAGCCGGAATATTCACTGTCAGTGTTGTCTGTCGTCGATTTTCGTTGTTTAATTGTTTTTTTTTTTCTTTTTCTTTTTAATTTTCTTTTCACGCTCAGCGCCTGACCGATTAACTAGGTTAAGTTAGCACTGATTGCAGCTGAATTAAGTTAGTCTCACAAATGGAAATACTGGATTGTGTTGATTACTCAGCAATTACGGGCAATAATTGGCAAACAAAATACGGTATAAATACTACAGAGTTGGTAAAACAAGTGCGGCGCTAAAAGAGGGGAAGTGGAAAATTGTACACGAAAAAATAATGTAAATGTAAAATAAATAAATAATGAATTACAATTGTTCAAATGTTTTTGTGTTTTTAGACTTTGTCATGGGAAGCAGACGAAAAGAAATGGTTTGAAATGAAATTTAGCGGAAAACTTTTATAATTTAATTGGTTATGCTTTTATAGCACCTGAATTCTACGATACTTTGATTTAAAACTATTTTCTTAGACAGTCTGCGCATTTAACGTGCATGGAACGAAATGGAACTTTCGAAACGGATAGGAACGATTGGAATTTTGGAAACAAGTCAAACGCCTAGCACGATTTAGAGTTTTCGAAACGCATGAAAAGGACCGACACTGTATTTGACGAATTTGAAATATTCGAAGCAAATGGCACCGAAGTGTGAAATGTTTTTTTTTTTTGCAAAAAGTTGAGATTTGGAATGCTTTGGGATATCCCAAACATATAAAGCCAAATAAAATAAATAAGGAAATTATGCGTAAATGTCTTTTGAACGAGCAAATATATGTAGTTCGAAACGTTGTGGAATTTTCGAAACTTGAAAAAACAAAATGCAATATTTTTGCAATGATATGAAATTTTTAAAACGTATAGGAACGAAATGGAAATGTCATTGAACGTATCATATTTAATCCATAAGACTTGTACATGCAAGTGCTGAAAAAACTATATTTTTAACTTAAGGGATCAACCTTTTCGCAACCTGGGGAAAGACAAAGAGAATTTAAATCTTTTTAACAAATCTGTATGGAGTTCAAAATTTTGAAAATGACTAAGCAACCTGTTCAGTTTGGTTCAATATGGAATTTTCGAAACTAATAGGATCGAACTGGAAATGAGTTGGAAGTTTATGACAGGCCGAGAAAGAAACAAATTAATTATAGCAGATGAAGGATTTCAAAAGGGGTAAGAACTTCCAAAACTTGAGAAAGCAAAATGGGAATTTAAGTGAAATTCGAAATTAGTAGGAACATGTGCATGAGATGGAACGTGGATTAAATGTGCTTAATAAGTTAGTAGAATTAAGTAATCAAGAGAGAAACATTGTTTCAAACTTTCAAGATCAAAATCTCCAATGGAATGATTTGGAACTTCCGAAACAAAAATTTAGGCGAAATGTGTATAGGCGACCTTCTTTTGGCTAATGTAAACTCTGTTTCACGATATGGAATTTTCGAAACGAATAGGAACAAAATGGAAATGTTATGAAACATGCGTTAAATTTACTGAGTAAGCTTTCTTGAAAGTCTGAGAAAGGAAAAAAATTAACTATGACAGATTAAGCACATTAAAACGGTTTAGAACTTCCAAAACTTGAGAAAGCAAAATGGGAATTTAAGTGAAATTCGAAACTAAGAAGAACATGTAAATAACTAAGTTGTGCTTAATAGCTACTAAGGTGAAATAATTAAAAAAGAACAAATGTTCAAACTTTCAAGATCAAGATCTAAAATGGAACAATTTGAAACTTTCGGAACTTGAGAAAAAGAAATGAGAATTTAAGTAAAATGTTGCGACTTATTTTGACCAATGTGAACTGTTTGAAACGATATGGAATTCTCGAAACTAATAGGAACGAAATGGAAATGTGATGGAACATGGGTTAAATATGCTTAATAAGTGATATGAAAGTACTTTAAAGAAAATAAATATTTTAAGCTTTGGAGATCAAACCCTTTTGGCTAAGTAATGCCAAATATTAAAAATTTTTAACGGATAAATTCAGTTTCTGCTGCTGTGAGTTTGTGTGCTTTTAAAAAGGTTTTATTACTGATCAAACGTTGCTGCTCTATCAAAGGTTACGCACGCATATTATATGTCTATGTCCGTCACTGGATTTTGTAAACTTTTCTCGGCCTGTCACCTAGTCTTAACTCAATAAGCCAATGGGCTTGGCTTTTCTTGATAATCGAAAAAAATACCAAAAAAAGTCCACAAAACTAATAATTCCCAGACATTATGTTTTGTTTACGCTTTTCTGCTCTGAAGTCCCCTTGACTTCAAAATCCTCGTTCAATGCACTTAAACTCGGTTGACATCACTTGCCACAGTGACACTCCAAACACATGCACTGTGCACTGAATGTTAAAGGAGAGCAAAAAATAATAAAAATAAGAAATGAAAGAATTGGCAAATAGAGCTAGAAAACTGTGTAGTTGTTGCCATGCAAAGGAATTCCTTTAATATCTTTCAAGCATAGATATTCAAAGCGGTTGCACGAGCGATTGTGGGCGCACAAAATCGACCGCCAGTGGCTGATGTCATGTAAAGCGCAATTCCAGGTCAAATTCTTTGGCAAAGTCGAAAAGGCAGGCAGGCGCCTTTCAGGCAGCAGAGTCTCCATACTTATGTGCATACATGCGAGATATAATAAGTTAATCGCATCTTAACTAATTCTTACTTAAACTTTAAGAAATTCCAATGCCTAAAAATCTCAAAGGCATTACGCTTGCATTCATGTGCGCCGCCACGCCAGGCATTGTGACTGTTCAATCAATAAAGCCTTTGTGTTATGCATTTTCGTTGTGGTATTTGGTCTATTCAAAGCATAGCCGGAAGCATTGCAAGCCACAGGAAATTCCTGTGAAACTACATAAGCTGCATGTGGCAGGTGCGCCAAGATTCAAAAGGGCAGGATATGCCTGTAAAAAGAGAACGGTTTTGAAGAGAAACTTTTTCCTGTTTATTTATTGAACAGAATTAACCAAAAAAATGTCGGGATTATACATAAGTACAGTAATTGACAAGTGTAATCAATTAGAAAAATCACTGCCGCATAAGTACACAAAAGTGATGGTGGTGGTGTTGGTAGTGGTGTTGGTGTTGGTGGTGGTGGACATCGAAAAAATGCGCAACAGGTAGGTCATTCAACTGAAATGCCGTCTAAACCTGTTGTTGCGGCTTCCAATGTCGTTGCCGCTGCCGCCAGTCGGCACCTTCACCGGCATTGTTGCCAGTAGCGCGTTATTCACAGTGCATATGTATGAATGTGTGGTGTTGTGAGTGACAACAGTTAAAGCTGACTTAATAATAATTTTATGGGCATTTTTCGTTGACAATAACTCCGTAAGACGAAACACAAATAAACACACGTGTATACTATAAAGCAAGTAAGCGATAATATTTAGTAGTTATGTGAGAATATTTTAAATTTTTTATCTGACCATAATGCCAACATAATACCCTTTCGGTGTAAACATAAAATGTAGTAAATAGAACGGCACTTAAACACTGACATACTCATATTTTATTGATTTCTTACTTTCATGTCAATCTGTATGTATGTATGCATCTTACTAACCTTTCAGTGTTTTTTTTTGTAATTTTTTCATTAACAATTTTTCTCACATTCGTTGTGAATTTAACGGCTTGGAATTTTGGGAATTCAATACGGTAAATTGCGAAACAAGAAAAAATCGTATTCTGGTTTTAAGGCAAAGTATAAAATAATCAAAGAATTGAACATTGTGTGAATCATTGTTAATTACAGTAGCGGCCAATGCAATGGTATCATAAAATTTCTTTAGGTGGAAACGTGTCTGTAGTACTTTACGTTACTTATATAACGAAGAGCTTTTCATAAATTTTGCAAGAGGCTTGTCCTCAACGTCTACCGTTTAGGCCGTGGGCTACAATTCCAATGGGTAAACATTACTAGCTCAGTTCCCAGCTACCCACACCATTCGCCTCTCCCATTTCCCCATCATTGATTTTGCATATGTCTTCAGGTAAATTCGTCAAGGTAATTTTGATTTTTCAACCTTGAAATGTGATATCTCAATGTTTTGTTAGGTAACTTCCAACCGATGCACGATGTTTTCGAATTGGAATTTTCTGTTCAAAATTGTCCAGAGCCTCTTCATTTTGCAACCGATTTGATATATTTTTTTTTATGAAAGCTGATGAGATTTAGAGGAGATTTGTCGAGCTTGATTTTTGCATTTTTTTTTTGTTTATGTTTGTTAAATTTTTTAATGCAAAGTGCAGAGAAAGTAGAAATTTGGAAGAAAATCGATTCACATTTACCTAGTTGAAAACAATTATGGAGTTATCCCAAAACTAAAAAAATGCCCAAGAAAAAATCGAAGTGCTATAAAATATTGATCGAAAGTAAATATCATGCCGTCCATGTACTGTTTTCATGTCCGTTTTAATCTGTTTTGAATCTGCACGATTTACGAATGAACCTAATCAGATTGTTGCGTGTCAAAGAGCTCATTTGTTCGTCTCTCAACACATCGCGCCCA